TGCTTCAGCCTCCTGAATGCAGTGATAGGCATGTGCCACCTCTATGTTTATTAAATGTTCATGACACTTCCTGTCATATGTTAGAGTGTTATGTGAGTGGCATCTGTCACAGAATGGCACCTGGGAATTGAAGGATTTGTTAAAAGGGGCATGGTGGTGCATACATGTAATCTCAACACTTGGAGGCTGAGGCAGGAAGGTCACCATGAGTTCAAAGCCAGCCTGGATTACATAGTGAGACCCTGTGTCAAAAAGCAAAAACAAAAAAGGCTGAGCTGTGGGCTCTATCCCAGACCTGCTGAGTCAGAATCTGCCTTGTAGGTAAATTTGGGTTATAGGAGAGTTGATATATGTATATGAGAGTGTTAGAAGCACTGTCCCAGAGAAGGGACTCAGTGGACAAGAATGTCCACTGAGCAATCCTGCTGCTGCTGTAGAATTGCCAAGAAACGTCTGCAGCCATGGAACCAACCAGCTTTAGAGCTCACAGGTCACTGTAGAGCATGGAAGGAAGAAAGGTCAAACCTTGTGAGCTCCTAAGCTATTTTTTTTTTACCCTTTTTTTGTTGTTGTTGTTAATGTATTTGGTACAGGGTCTCACTTCGCAGCTCATACTCATAGTGATCCTCCTGTTTCAGCCTCCCCAGTTTGGGATTATAGGCATGGATCACCACTTCCAAACTGAGTGGCTGTCTCAGCATACCCAAAGGCGAGGCCAGCATGGCATCTGGTTCTGGGGATTGAACCCCAGTCCCTACGCTTGCCTAAACAGGTGCTTAAACCACTGAGCTATCTTGCCACTCCTGAACTAGTAAACTTAACATTTATTTATTTATTTTTTGCAGAGCTGGGGATTGAACTCAGGCCCTTGTGCTTGTCAGGGAAGCGCTTATTCCACCGAGCCATCTCCCCGGCCCCAAACTTAATCTTTAGAACAAGTAGACAGTTACCTTTTTGCCTGTGACATAAAGTGGTTCTTAGAGATTGAGACTAATTCTTACTAATAAATTTTCTTTTTGTATGGGGAATTGAACTCAGGAGCTTGTGCTTGCCAGGCAGGTGCTGTGCCACTGAACTACATCCCCAGGGTCCCATCTTACTTTTTACTCAAGCTACTACTTAGCTCAGCAGGATAGGTTACTTTAAAAAAAAAGAAAGAAACTGTAGATATTAAACACAGTGTAGTGGATTATAAAATGTTTACTTAACTGTTTCTAAAAATAGAGAGAGAGAAAAAAAAAAAAGAGTAAGGGCCAGGAGATAGCTCAGTAGAATAAGTGTTTGCCTGGCAAGCACAGGGTCCTGAGTTCAATTCCCGGTAGCACAAAAAATAAATAAAAATAAAAATAATAAAATCAAATAAAAATAAAGAGTAGGG